TGGCTTTGACACCTGTAAATTATATAAATGATTTCTGAAGGATTCTGTGACACTGCAGATCAAAAATGATGCTGAAAAATCAACTTTGCATAGCAGAAATAAATTATACATTATTAAGATTACAAAAGAAAACGTTTATTTTTAAATTCCGTAAATATTTCACAATAATTCTGTATATTATCGAATAGATTGAGACCTGCTGAGCATAACATACTTTTCACATTTATTCATTTCATCATTTTCCTTCGGCTTAGTCCCTTTATCAATCTGGGGTTGCCACAGCAGAATGAACCACTTTTTTATAATCAATCAATCTACCAACCCAAACATTCAAACACTTCAAAAAACTATGTTTGCTGTTTGTTCAAATTATTTAAAACTAATTGAAACAACACTATTCTTGATTGCTTTTAGGAATAACTTATTTGTTTAATGTTCATTCATTCTCCTTCAGCTTAGTCTCTATTTTTAGAGGCCACAGCGGAATGAACCACCAACTATTCCAACATGTGTTTTACGCAGCGGATGCCCTTGCACCCGAAAGAAACCCACGTCAACACGGGGAGAACATGCAAACAACACACACACATTAAAACATGCAGGGTTCCACACGATTCATTCATGTTATCCCAACACAAATTGATCAACTTAACACTTTTAACAAATTTATGTGAATTGAACATAAGGAAATTAAGCTGTCTCTATGAAATCTAAATAAGTAGTTTGAACAAGCAAAAAAAAAAAAAATATATATATATATATATATTTTTGAGTGCACAGAAAAGCCACCTGACCCAGCCTGAACTTGAACCAGCGACCTTCTTACTGTGAGGCAACAGTGATAACCACTGAGCCACCGTGCCGCCTTGTTTATGTTCAATCCACTTAAAACTTGTAAAAACTAATAAATTAACTTTATTCCTTCATATTGTCCCAACACAAATTAATTATGTGGAGCCCAGCACTTTTTACAGTGAATAATAGCTTATGTAAATGCTAAAATCAGCATTTTTACTGTCCTAAAAAGAAATTATGCAGTGAAACATTGATATATCTTACACAACGCTTGGCCAGAATTATTACCTCATTCAAATAATTTTCAGCACAAAGCCAGAATGACAGTAGATTTATTATACAAGCAGAAAAAACACGTTCTGAAGGAAAATAAGCTAATAAAATATTCTGCAACTGTTAGCAGTGCTTTATAATGAACAGACACTCATGTTTACCAGTCACATGTTTTGCCAAAAGCAAAAATCCAGCTCATTATAAAGTGGGAATTTCCTTTCAGTTCGCTCAAGGTTATTTTAACACAAGTAAAGCCAAAAGATACAATTTTGATGGATTCGAGCTGCCTGGAGTATTTCATTCCACTCTGAAACAACAAGGCTAAGGGTGTCACGATTCTCCAAATCCTCGATTCGATTACATTTTCGATTCTTAAGTCACGATTCGATTCGATTATGAATAATTAATAACAAATTAATTATTTGTAGCCTACCGTTTAAACTACCTGACCTGCATGGTCTTTGTTTTACCCATAACAAATCATACAGTAAATGAATAAAGGCAAGTTACACACATAATTACCACCTGTCAATCACTTTTTTCTTGTGAATAGGCAGTGATCTCTGTCGTTATAATGGCGTCGGTAAAAAAGGTGCACAACCAACAGGAACCAGCCAACAGCATCTGAGGTGTTTGCTAAAATGACTAAGTACTAGGGTGAAAGTAAAAGATTGAAGCAGCCTTAACTAGGTTAATTAGGTTAACCAGGCAGGCTAGGGTAATTAGACAAGTTATTGTATAACGATGGTTTGTTCTGGAGACAGTCTGAAAAACAATTAGCTTAAGGGGCTAATAAATTTGACCTTAAAAGGGTTCATGAATAATTAAGAAGTGCTTTTATTCTAGCCAAAATAAAACTTTGTTCAGAGGAAAAAATATTATCAGACAAGGCACTGTATTTCAGTACAAAAGAAGCTGCATACAAATATTGTATATAACATGCATGATTTCAATACTATTCTATACTAGCAACAATAATGAAAAACTACTGTGTACTAATATCTAAAAAATGGCCACATCTATTCATTCATTCATTTTCTTTTCAGCTTAGTCCCTTTATTAATCAGGGGTCGCCACAGCGGAATGAACCGCCAACTTATCCAGCACATGTTTTACGAAGTGGATGCCCTTCCAGCCGCAACACTGGGAAACATCCACACACTCTTGCATTCACACACATACACTATGCACAACTTAACTTAAATAAACAGGTAAAACATAATAGTTTGAAGGGAATAGGGAAGAATAAAGATTTAAGGTGACAACAAATATCTGTTTCATAGCTTTTCTATAATCCTTAAATAGTCTTTCAATATGTCAACAAGTGAATATTGTCTGACAATATGTTTACTATATAAACTACTGTACTGAATGACACATTAGTGGACGTCTTAAATCATGGTAAAATGTATGATTTTACAGAGAGGAAAATATTAAACATGACACATACAAAGTGTGACATTTTAATTATGTGTTACATTTTCATTGATTAATGACCCCACATAACATTAACAAACAATAAAAAACATCATAATTAATCAAGTTGATAAAATCTAATAGGTTAAAAAAGAGTGGTAAAGTATAAATATTTAATTATATTAATGCCATCAAATTATTATTACTGTCTCCTCTTTTTTTACTACATAAACTATTGTTATAAACGCATATTAGTGGATGTCTTCAGTAAATCATGGTAAAATGTATGATTTTACAGAGAGGATATTAAACATGACACATACAAAGTGTGATACTTTATGTATTACATTTTCATTGATTAATGACCCCACATAACATTAACAAACAACTAACCCATAACTAACCCATTTTAAAATGTATGATTTTAAAGAGGAAAATTTTAAATTAAACATGACAAAGTCTAATATACTTTTATTGTTTAATAAAACATAATAAATATCATATTTAATTAAATGCGTAAACAAACAGTTAAAACAATTGTTTAAAGGAGAGTAGTGAAGTATAACAATTTAAAATGACTATTAATATCCATTTCACAGTTGCACTGTGATCCCTAATAATGTCATCAATATATTATTATTATTGTCTGACAAGATTTGTTACTATATAAATAAACTATTATTGCACTGAACGACATATTAGTGGGTGTGTTCAGTAAATTATGGTACAATGTATGATTTTACAGAGGAAAATATATAATTAAACATAACACATACAAACTGTAATATGCTTTAAATATGCATTACACTTTTATTGTTTTACTCCCCCACATAAAATTCAAAACATTAAAATATCATGTTTAATTAAACAAACAGGTCAAACATAATAGTTTAAAGGAGAGTAGTGAAGTTTAAGGATTTATAATGAATATTAATATCAATTTCAAAGCTGTTCTATGATTCCTAAATAGAGTTTTTTTAATATGTCATCAATTTATTATTCTTATTGTCTAACAAGATCTGTTATATGTATTGCCATTTTATTGTTTTAATACCCCACATAACATTAACAAACATAAAAATATCATGTTTAATTAAACAAACAGGTCAAACATAATAGTTTGAAGGAGATTATTTTTTCATTCATTTATTTTCTTTTTGGCTTAGTCCCTTTATTAATCGATTAATACCCATTTCACACGCAATGTGATCCCTAAATAGAGATTTTTAATATGTCATCAATATATTATTATTATTGTCTGACAAGATTTGTTACTATATAAATAAACTATTATTGCACTGAACGACATATTAGTGGGCGTCTTCAGTAAATTATGGTAAAATGTATGATTTTAAAGAGAGGAAAATATTTAAATAAACATGACACATACAAAGTCTAATAAACTTTAAATATGTAGTACACTTTTTCAGTTTTATAACCCCACATAACACTAACAAACATAATAAATATCATATTTAATTAAATGCGTAAACAAACGGGTCAAACATAATAACTTAAAGGAGAGTAGTGAAGTATAACTATTTAAAATGACAATTAATATCCATTTCATGGCTGTTCTGTGATTCCTAAAGTCTTTAAATATATCACCAATTTATTATTAATGTCTGACAAGATTGCTTACTATATAAATAAACTCGTTGTACTGAATAGAAATGAATGATTTTACAGAGATAAATATGAAATTAAACATGACATAACATTAACATAACTGTGTAACATCAGACAGATAGCACTATTGTCTTTTTTTGTTCCTTTAAAACCAGTTTTAACACATTTTAATTTGTTTTTAATCATTTTTACTCTTTGTTGTTTTTATTTACTTGTCTCTGTTATTATTATTATTATGTAAAGCACTTTGAAATACCATTGTGTATGAAATGTGCTATATAAATAAACTTGCCTTGCCTTGAAAAACATTTTTAAAAATTGTATTTGAGACTGGCAGAACTTTACAAGCAGGTGTGCATTTCTCTGAAACATTAAATAATGAATGTATATCCTGGTATGTTAGCTGTCCTGTCGGGAGTATGTGTTCAAGCAAGGAGGTTTGTTTCAGAGAGAAACGCTATTAAACTTTGAGATGTGCTGTCAAACTCTGGCCATCCTCTCCCAGACTCCCCCAAACCCCTCTCTCTGAATTCACGGATGCCAAATTCCTTAATAATTTATTAATGAAACGGATAACAGTGTGTAGATTTGAATGGTACTTCATTTGAGGAGAAACACCTCCTCTCGTCCACACCCTGCTTGATAAAATGCCTTAATTCAGGACACGTAACACTTCTAAAACTGACACGAGCGAAATAAAACAAAACCCTTATGTGTGATCTGACAGAGAAACAAGCTATCGAGGAAAAAAACATCGACATTCTTTCATGAAACTTCATTTGTGTGTAACTTTGACATGCAACAGTTGGTGAAGCCGCGCGGGAGTTGATGCAAACTCATCACTTCCGGCTACAAACGCGAAGAAACTTTCACTAACTTTTCCTTACCTTTTACAAACGTGTGATAAAACAGCAATTCTAGAGTTTTTCCACCTCCCTTGTTTTCTTTCTTTCAAGCAGGCCAATCCAGGGAATCCGGAAACCGCTGCAATTCCGCCCTTATCCCACAATGCCTATTTACTGGTGGATCGAGACCCCGGCGCAACGGGAGTCATTATGGCTCAAGAATGGATGTGGAGTACACGCGGTAGAGCGGCAATTTAGAGCCAAGATGGCGTAGATAGGTTGCAGTTTCTAGAAGTTGTCTGTTCAAGGAGCATGTCTAAGCATGCACCAAAATCAGACGAACTTTATAAATAAAATTTAGCAAAATTTAACATCAAAATGTAAGTTTAACATTGATTTTTCCATGTGTGATACTTTTCTCGTGACAATTTATAGGCAATTTATTTATTCTAATGAGTAAATATTATATTTACAAATGTAAATTTTCTTAATGTTTACCCAATTTTCCGAGTTTTCTTTGTGAATTAAATTATTTATTTACTGCGTTACAAAATGATTATAGTAAAAAGCAGGTAGCACAATCGCTTCACAGCAAGAAGGTCGCTGGTTCGAACCCCAGCTTGGTCAGTTGGCATTACTGTGTAGAGTTTGCATGTTCTCCTCGTGTTTGTGTGGGTTTCCTCCGGGTGCTCCCGTGTCCCCCACAGTCCAAAGCATATCTGCCAAGATTTGTCTCTGAAAGTCCGGGAGATGGAAAAAAATTTAAGTTTTTTTTTTTAATTTTTGAAACTTCGGGAGTTTTCCAGGAGAAATAACAAAAAGGGAGGGTGGCAGGAGATGGGTCTGAAATACAGGAGACTCCCGGGAAAACGGGGGTGGTGGCAGGTATGGTCCAAAGACATGCAGTACAGGTGAATTGGATACGCTAAATTGGCCGTAGTGTATGTGAGTGTGTGTCAAAAGTGTATGGGTGTTTCCCAGTGTTGGGTTGCGGCTAGCAGGGCATCCACTGCGTAAAACATGTACTGTAATAGTGGGTGGTTCATTCCACTGTGGCGACTCCTGAGGGACTAAGTCAAAGGAAAATTAATGATTTAGAATCAGAATCAGTTTTATGGCCAAGTGTGCTTCACACACACAAGGAATTTGTTTTGGCTACAGAAGCTTCCAGTGTACAAGTGGACAAGTGACAACACAAAATAAATATGAGAAAAAAAGACAATAAGCATTAAACAGAGATGCAGTTAGTCAAGAAATCTGGATGTTGAGTTGTACAGATTTGTTATAAATATACGGGTTATAAGTTGCTGAGTACAAGTGCGAATGGAGAAAGTATTGCATTGTATATTGATATAAGGTGCTGTGTACAAGTGCGTATGAGAAAGTATTGCACATATTTATTGCACAGTTGGGGTATATTTAACTGTTCATGAGGTAGATGGCCTGAGGAAAGAAACTTTTCCTGTGTCTGGCTGTTTTTGTGCTCTGAAGCGCCGACCAGACGGTATCGGTTTGAACAGGTAGTGTGCTGGGTGCGAGGTGTCCAGAGTGATTTTGCAAGCCCTTTTACTCACTCTGGAAGAGTACAGTTCTTGAAATGTAGGAAGGGTAGTGCCAGTGATTCGTTCAGCAGTCCGGACTATTCGCTGTAGTCTACGGAGGTTGGTTTTGGCAGCTGAGCCGAACCAGACGGTGATTGAAGTGCAGAGGATGGATTGGATGACAGCTGAGTAGAACTGCACGAGCAGCTCCTGTGGCAGGTTAAACTACCTCAGCTGACGAAGGAAGTACAGTCTCTGCTAGGCTTTCTTCATGATAGAGTCCCACTTCAGATCCTGAGAGATGGTGGTGCCCGGAAACCTAAATGACTCTACTGAAGCCACAGTGCAGTTCAAGGTGGTGAGCGGGGGGAGAGCAGGGGAGTTTCTCCTAAAGTCCACCATCATCTCCACTGTTTTGAGCGAGTTCAGCTCCAGGTATTTGCACCATAACGCCAGCCGCTCCACCTCCAGTCTGTATGCAGACTCGTCACCGTTCCGGATGAGGCAGATGACATTTATAGGCTACATTATGTCATGTTATTGTTTTTGATTTAGTTTTTTTTTTACATCTGCAAATATTTTATTAATAAAACTTCTGTAAACATTTATTTTATTTTTGCTATTTATTTATGGATTTTTTTAATCATGTTTAAACAAAGTTGAAACAAATACAGACATGTGGATTTCCTTTGTCCACCCTACAAATTTGTAAATTAAAAAGATTAAAAAAAACATTAATAAATAATAAACTGTCAAACAACAAAAATAATTAACAATATTAACAGTTTATATACTGAGCAGCAAGATGTGCTTCAAAAACTTTCAGTAAACATATAATAAATGAATTTTTATCGACAAAACAAAAGTTCAAGGAATTAAACACACAGTTTGTCTTAACATTTAGTCTTATTATTAATCAGTAGGGTCTTTATATATTCAGTGGTTTGCAAATTTTTTGAATGGTAAATTTAAAAAGCAAAAAAAATCCATGTTGTTAGCCATAAATATTCCATGTTCTGGCACTCCAAAGATATAGAAATATATTAGCCCCCCTGTTTATTTTTTTTCCCTAATTTCTGTTTGACGGAAAGCAGATTTTTTTCAGCACATTCCTAAGCATAATAGTTTTAATTACTCATTTCTAATAACTGATTTATTTTATCTTTGTCATGATGACAGTGAATAATATTTGACTAGATATTTTTCAAGACACTTCTATACAGCTTAAAGTGACATTTAAAGGCTTAACTAGGTTAATTAGGCAAGTTAAGGTATTTAGGCAAATCATAGTATAACGATGGCTTGTTCTGTAGACTATCGAAAAAATATAGAGCTTAAAGGGGCTAATAATTTTGACCTTAAAATAGCTTTTATTCTAGCTGAAATATAACAAATAAGACTTTCTCCAGAAGAAAAAATATTATCAGAATGTGAAAATTTCCTTGCTCTGTTAAACATCATTTGGGAAATATTAAAAAAAGAAATAAAAATTCAAAGAGAGGCTAATTATGCTGACTTAAACTGTATGTATATATATATATATATATATAAAAAATTTTATATGTAATTTAACAGTTTTGATAAGTTGATTTTTATTGCTTCTATATATTTTTATTATTTTGGTGCTATTTTATTAATCATATGATTAAAAAGGTTTTATTTTGGTCTTTGTTTTTGTTTTTTACACGCACATACCCCCTTCAGAGTTCCCCACAAACGCACGGCTTTTCTCTGCCTCCTCATTGGCGAGCGCAGCAGATGCTCCGCTGTGCGATTGGACAAAAGTTTCACTCCTGTCTTGAAAACACACACACACACACACACACACACACCCCTCCTCTCGCGTCCTACTATTATTCCACTCCACTTATTCCCAGTCCAGCAAAAGTCCGTTAGTCAAAGCCCAGAAGAGACGCAGTTAGGAGATGCTGTCTGGCTGACCAAAGCGCATCTAAACCAGAGGAAAAGAAAATACTTCGGATAAAAGACGACCTGAGCAAAATTCTTCCAAAACAGAAGAAAAGAAAGCAGACAACCTGACCAAAGCTCGTCTTAAACAGAAGACAAAACTTTGGATTAAAGACGACCAAACCAAAGCGCGTCGAAAACAGAAAGGAAAGGACAAGAACACTTTGGATAAAAGACGCAAACTTCCATTAGAAGAAAGCAAACTTCTAAACTCCTTTTAGTACCATCAGGAGTGGGAAAAGAAAGCGATGGCCTCCGCGGCTTTGGAGCTCCTGGGTCTGATCCTGTGCGTCTGCGGGACGCTTTTGGAGATGGTGGCCTGCGGGCTGCCCACCTGGAAGGTCACCGCCTTCATCGAGGCCAACATCGTGGTCGCGCAGACCATCTGGGACGGCCTGTGGATGTCCTGCGCCGTGCAGAGCACCGGCCAGATGCAATGCAAAGTGCACGACTCCATGCTCGCGCTCAGCCACGACCTGCAAGCCGCGCGCGCGCTCACGGTCATCTCCTCGGTCTTGAGCGTGCTCGCGCTCATGGTGGTGATCGCAGGCGCGCAGTGCACAAACTGCATCAAAGAGGACAACGTGAAAGCGCGGGTGGTGAACGTCGGAGGGGTGATCTACATCCTCAGCGCCATCTTCGTGCTTGTGCCACTGTGCTGGATGGCCAATAATATCATCTCCGACTTCTATAACCCGCAGGTGCTGCCGGCCCAGAAGCGGGAGATCGGCGCGGCGCTGTACATCGGCTGGGCGGCCTCTGCGCTGCTGCTGCTCGGGGGAAGCATACTCTGCTGCTCCTGCCCGGCCTCTGGAAGCTCCGGGTACTCGGTCAAATACGCGCCCACTAAAAGAGCCACATCCAACGGGGAATACGACAAGAGGAATTACGTGTGAATGCTTGAGTGTGTGTGTGTGTGTTGCACATGCAGATGAAAACTCGATGCTTTTTGCTGGACTCTACTTTTTTTGTTTTTGTTTTTAAGAGAGTAGTTCACCCAGATGTGAACATTTACTCACTATTTACTTTACCTCAAATGGTTTTTAACCTTTATAAATGTCTTTTTTCTGTTTGAACACAAAAGAAGATATTTTGAAGAATGCTGTACTTAAATGCTGTAACCATTGACTTCTATAGTACACTGTAAGAGTATTTTCACAAGTGTTTTCCATTTATTTACGGTTGTGAATTGCATTATGAGAGGTTGATCTCTTGTCTGTCGACTTTAGATGTTGAAAATTCAACTCTACAGTTTTCCAAAGCGACTTTGATTGGGATTTTAGTAGTTTGAAATAATGTAATGTATAGGGAACAACATAGAGAGAACAGAAAATGTATACTGGCAGGTTTTTGTAGCATACTATACAACATCAACTCAGATGATATATCAATTTAAACTGTTATAAAGGTTAAAAAAAGTCACTTTATTAAACTTTTCAAGTTTAAAAGTGAAAAAGAATAAAAAATAAAATGAAAACATGAATCACAAAACATGTAAAACTGCAAATTTTTTGATGTTTTTATAGGAAAAACAAGTTCTATGTAAGTCAATGGTTACCGGTTTTGAGCTTTCTTCAAAACATCTTCTTTTGTGTTCAACCGAAGAAAGAAACTCAAATCGGTTTGGATCAAGTAAAGGGTGAGTAAATTTTAATTTTGGGGTGAACTATCACTTTAAGCATCTCGGACTACTAAGTGGATCCGTTTATTTAAACGGGAGGATTGTGCGTTTTGTGAAAGGTGAACATTTTTTCGTTAACAAACATGTTGCTTAACAGGTTCTGGAGTGTGTGATATATTCACTTTTTAATGTGCATGATCTGTTAAACATTGAATTATTTTATTTTATTTTTTCCGAAAGCATCTTATTGGTTTATGTTAAGCTATATGTTGGCTTTTTGTTAATATAAATCAATGAGAACAATGCACATAAAGGAGAACATTTTACAGTAAACATACAGTGCTTCATTAAAATACATTCAAATGCCCTGAAGCATTATTTGCATGTTCATGTTTTAAGCATGAATTACTGACCCGTTACACATTGTATTCTTTTTTTTATGTTTTAAAGCATCTGATTGGCTAAAAATGTATTTTTTTCAGTAACTTAATGTAGGCTTAATGGTTTACAATAAGGGAAACTTCAATTATACAATGCTGAGATGCATTCAGATGTCCTTAAACATTGCATTTGCATCCAATGTTTTATTAAGCATGATCTGTTAAACATCAATTTTAAAGCATCTGATTGGATAAAATGTCTTTTAGTGACATGAGCCACCTGTAGAATTTAGGTTCACATTAATTTTCTTAACAGATCATTCAATTATATTATATTTTCATACAATATTCATGTTTTTAGGTGCATTAAGTACTGATCTGTTAAACATTGTATTATTTTGAAAGCTGTTTTCATATTGTAAAGCATCTAATTGGTTAAAAGGTTTACTTTCGGTAACATGGTGTTGAATTTTGGATAAAAAATTAGTGCAAAAATGGGCATGAAGATAAACATTTTACAATCTTTTTAACATCCAAGCAATGCTCAACAGGTCTTTAAAAAACATTCAGATGACTTGAAACATTTTTTAACATGCATGATGTTAAAGATTGCATCATTTTAAAATGTTTTTATCTTTAAACAGCATTTGACTGGCTAAAAAGTAAACTTTCAGTTAAATTTGTTTAAATGTGCATTAAAGCTGAGCATTTTATAATACATTTAACATTTTACAGTGCTTGACAGACCATTAAAATACATTAAACATTATATTTCATACAATATTCATGCTTTAAAGTGCATGAAGTACTGATCTGTTAAGCATTGTAAATTTTGAAAGCTGTTTTCATATTTTAAAGCATCTAATCGGTTAAAAAGTTTACTTTTGGTTGAATTTTAAATTAAAAATTGTAAAAAATTGTGCATAAAGATGAACATTTTACAATCAGTTTCACAATAAACATTATACAATGCTCAACAGCTCGTTAAAACAACATTCAGATGACCTGAAACATATTTTTTCATGCAATATTCACGATTTAACATGCATGATTTGTTGAACATTGCATTATTATACAATGTTTTTATATTTCAAGGCATCTGATTGGTTAAAAAGTTTACTTTTGGTAACTTGCAGTTCACTTTTTACATAATAATTGGTGCAAAAATGCGCATAAAGATAGACATTTTACAATCGATTTGACATTAAACATTATACAACGCTCAACAGCTCATTAAAACAACATTAAGATGTCCTGAAACATATTTTCTTTCCTACGATATTCATGGTTTAACATGCATGATCTGTTAAACACTGCATTATTTTACAATGTTTTTATATTTCGAAGCATCTGATTAGTTAAAAAGTTTACTTTCAGTGTCTTGGAGTTGAATTATGCATAAAAACTCGTCTAAAATTGTGCATAAACATGAACATTTTACAATGGATTTAACATTGAACATTATACAAGGCTCAGCAGATCCTGCTGATTTCCTGAAAAATAATTTTTTTTATACATTATTCATGGTTTGACATACATGATCTAAACATTGCTATATTTTTTTAAATGTTTTTAAATTTTAAAGCATTTAATTGGTTAAAAAATTTACTTTCGGTATCTTTGAGTTGCCTTTTTGCATAAAAATTAGGACAAAATGTGCATAGAGATTGACATTTTACAGTCAATTTAACATTAAACATTATACAATGCTCAACAGATCATTAAAACAACATTCAGATGACCCGAAACATACCTTTCAACATGCATGATGTTAAACATTGCATTATTTTACAACGTTCATATATTGAAAGCATCTAATTGGTTAAAAAGTTTACTTTCGGTATCTTGGAGTTGACTTTTTGCATAACAATTAGTGCAAAATGTGCATAAAGATTTACATTTTACAGTCAATTTAACATCAAACCTTATACAACGCTCAACAGATCATTAAAACAACATTAAGATGACCTGAAACATATTTTATTCATACAATAATAATGCTTTAACATGCATGATCTGTTAAACATTGCATTATTTTGCAATGTTTTTATATTTCAGAGCATCTGATTGGTTAAAAAGTTGATATATACATAAAAACTTGTGCAAAAATGTGCGTAAAGATGAACGTTTTATAATTGATTTAATATTAATGATCAACAAATTCAGATGACATTCAGATGACATGAAACATATTGTTTTATACAATATTCATGGTTTAACATATGTGATCTGTTAAACATTGCATTATTTTTAAATGTTTTGACATTTTAAAGCATCTAATTGGTTAAAAGGTTTACTTTTGATATCTTGGAGTTGACTTTTTGCATAAAAATTAATGCACAATGTGCATAAATAAAGACATTTTACAATCGATTTAAACATTAAACATTATACAATGCTCAACAGATCATTAACAACATTCAGTTGTCCTGAAACATAATTTCTTTCATGCACAATTCACAGTTTAACATGCATGATCTGTTAAACGTTGCATTATTTTACAATTTTTATATATTTTAAAGTATTTGACTGACTAAAAAGCTTACCTTCAGTTAAATGCCCATTAAAGCTGAGCATTTTATAATAAATATAGCATTATACAATGCTTAACAGATCATTAGAACACATTCACTGTTATATTTCCATGCAATATTCATGTTTTAATGTGCATGAACTACTGATCTGATCCTCTTTTTTAGAAACATAATGAGAACACAATTATAAACGCTACCGATCTGTTAGGCATAAATGTTTGTTTTCATTATGAAGTGTTTCTCTTTTTCATACCTATTAAGGATATTCATGGGTGAACGAGGAGGAATATTATGACAAATATCTGTTTTAGGTACCTGGAAAAGGCTGTAAGACTTAAGCGTTTAGTATCTGTAGCTGTTTTGATGGATGATGTTTACCGAAAGTGCTGAAGATGAGATGTTTTTTTACACTTGGACAGTCAGCAGGACAAACTCGAGACTCAAAATCCTGACTTTTCAGACACTCTCAAACTCACACTGTTGCTCGAAATCAAGTGCAGCAGGATTTTCATCCACTGTGGAAAAATGCGAAATTATTTTGGGATTCTCCTGAATTTCACGGATGTTCCTTGAAAATGTGGATTTATTTTGTAATTTTTTTATTGTCTTTAATTTGTTGAATGAATGTGGTTTGGAATAAAAATTTACAGTTTTGACACGAATATGAATGTTTGTGATTTTTTTCTTGTTTCTGGCTGTTGTCATGTACGCCGGTCAAAAGTTTGGGGTCAGTAGGATTTTTAAATGTTTTAAAATAAGCTTCTCCTGCTCACCAAGGCTGCATTTAATACATCAAAAATACAGTACAAGTTGTAAAATTGTCAAATGTTATTGCTCTATAAAATAACTGTTCAAAAGCAGTTTATAATTTAATTTAATAATTTATTCCAGGGATTTTAAAGATGAATTTTTAGCTTCATTACTCCAGTCTTTTGAGTCACATCCTTCAGAAATCGCTCTAATATTAGTTATTATTATTGTTGTTATTATTATTAATAATGAACATAGTAATAAAAGCAACACAGACTGGAGTAATAATTTCATTTGAAACTACATACAATAAGAAAGCAGTTATTTAAAATTTTAATAAACATTTCACTTTTTTACATTTAATAAATGCTGCCTTGATGAACAGAATAATTTTATAAAATAAAATTAAAAATACCCCAAACCTCAACCGGCAGCGTAAATATTTAAAGACCAAAATATCTATATATTGTTTTATATTTCCCAAGTTATATTGTTTTATATTTATCTATATTATATTTTTATTTTATATTTTAAGTCTTGGAATTTTTTTCCCCCATTGGCTATTGCAGTGTTTCTCAACCACGTTCTTGGAGGACCACCAGCACTGCATGTTTTGGATGTCTCCTTTGTCACCCATTACAGGTCTTTCAGTTTCTGCTAATGAGCTGATGATCTGAATCTGGTGGGTTTGGTTAAGGAGACATTGGTTGGGTTCAAAATCACATGCTTCCATATGCAGTATGCTAAAACAGTATGCGAGTAGAGTAGTATGTCTGAATTCATCAAATTAAAAAAAAAACAGTACATGAGAAGTACTCGGATGACTTACTATTTCTGGCGAGATTCTGAAGTGTGTATCCGATGCGTGCTGCACTATCCCATGAAGCACTGTGAGAAAATTAATTAATGGGAGTGAAGTGACGCAACTAATGTGGGTACTGTAGGTCACGTTATCGCATCAAAATGGTGAATGTAGTACATCCAAGTTCCATTCATACTGTATAGAAAGCACTTTTCTAACAGTCCAGTAGTAAATTCAAATTCAAATACAGTACCTACTGAGTGGAATGCGATTTCCAACAGAACCATGGAAAATGTGCAGAGCTGGTGGTCCTCCAGGAATGTGGTTGAGAAACACTGGTCTACAGAACAAACCAATGTAGTA